CGACGGATTTTTATTTCCGACGAGATAGAACCGACGGACCAAAACCGTCGGAAAACCGTCGGAATAGGGGTTATTCCGACGGATTTCCGACGGTTTTGGCCATCGGAAACTATCATGTTTTCTTGTAGTGATGTGTCCCCTTTTTCACTCCATTTCCTAAAAATGCTTCGATTCTCACAGTTTATTCTCCATTTCGTTCCAAATAAAAAAAATTAAAAAATCTAAGGGTTATTTAAAAAGATGAGCCAAATTTGGTTTATTTAGATGTGTGATGACATGATTAGCACAGTTTATTTATTATGCTCAAGTCAGAAAAGGACTGTTGTCTTGGGTTTCGTTAGCATCGCAAATCTTCAGAAAATATATCGTAGAATACTGGCAGACAAATACAATGGCAGTTATATCTCTGCCATTGATGGGGGTGGTAAGTCATTCACATATATATTTAGTGAGAAACCAAAGATAGAGATAATAATTTAATTCTATTTTAATATGATTTTACCTTTAACAAATGCAATAAACACGAAAACCAAAAGGAAATATTAATAATGGTACGTATGGCAATAAGTTTTCTATGAATACGTACATTTCCTTTTTTCCATTATATACACACATCATCAACTTCATTGCTTATGATTGTTGGTTCAGAGTTGGCTACTTCTTGATATTTGGTTTCGAATGTGGATGTGCTATTGGCTCTATGGTTTGAGCTTGGAGGGATGACGATGCTTTCCTCTTTAATCAAATCCTCTTTCTTCTCTGTTTTAGTGTTTTGTATCTCTTGGGCAAAGATTTCTCTATGAATATCTTTGTGTCTTTAGGCTTCATGCTTTGTGGATGTCGTTGTAACTCGTGTGGTTTGTGTGCTCTTTCATTATAATATACCATTAGATGACCAAAAATAAAATACACACATCATCAACAGAAAATTTAACTTTTTAAAAACAAAACTTGCGGAAGAAGAACCACAAACAAAACTCAAATTAGATAATTTATGTTACATTTTAATTTTTGAAATTAATTTACGTTACACTTGGTTATTAAATACAACTTTCTATCAATTTAGTATCCCACCAATTTTCTATGAGAATTTTATATTTAATTCTTAATCGCTTTTTTCTGGTTTCACAAAAAAATCGTACCTGTCTCAAAATCGAAACTCTCAGATGAGAAGAAAAAAAAAAATCTCAAAATCAACATTGTTGTGTAGATTTTCTTTTCTTTCGTAGATCTTCCGTGGGGAAGACATGCAAGTCAGAAAAGTGACAATTCGACTTGATCGTTGCAACACTTTTTCAATGCCTTATTTTATTTCTACCAATGAATTATTGTCCGCAAATCTTCTACGACAAGTGTGCGAAAATCTCGTAACCCAAGACGATGTAATTCTTTTCTTTTATTCATTCAATGACTTTTTCTTATTTACGTCTGCCAGTGCATTAGTGTTCGACTGATGAGAATGACACTCTATTACGTAGTTCACCTTACATTTTCAATTACCTTTCACAAAATTTTCTATTATAAAATTAAAACTGAAACTATAATTTAACATTTTTCATTCTGATACGATTTTAATCAACCAGTTGGATTTGTTAACCAGATTATTACTTCCTATCTATAAAATTTATAAATTAACCTCATTTTCTTTTTTTTTTCTAAAACGTCTATAAATTAATATT